ACCATTCCTCCCTCCTCTCCCGCGTACCCCCCCCCTCCTCTTCCCCTGCCTTCATCGCAGTAGCAGAGCACTCTCCTCCACACGCACACACTCTCCTTCCCCCTCACACCCTGGTCCCCTGCCGCCCCCTCTGAGCAACTGGCCGCGCATTTTCCCTCCCATCCGCGCCCCACATATGATCCCGGTGATGAGTGGTCGCTCCCGCGGTCCTCCCCTCCCCCCGAGTAGCATTCCCCCGGGCGACGCGGCGATCCTCCTGCACTTTGGCGCCGACGCCGGTGCCGCTGCCACTGCCGGGCTTCCTGCTGGCCAGGAGCCCGGAGTGCCAGGCGCATCTGGACACCCGGGACGCCGGGCTCCTGGGCCAGGCTCTGATCCGCCATCGGGCGAGCCAGCACCGGCGGCGCCCCCGGCCGGGGGAAACGCCGATGTAGGGTCCCCTCCCACCGGCACAAGTCCCAGCGAGGTGGTCTACGTCAATGCCAAGCAGTATCAGCGCATCCTCCGGCGGCGGGAGACTCGAGCCCGCTTGAACCTGCGCATTCAGCTTGCCCAAGCCATTTTGCAGCAACCCGGCGGGGTGCGCGACGCGTGCACCGTTCGCCAACCGCCCCAGTCCTTCAAGGCAGCGGCCGAGGCACTGGCCGGGCTTCCCTCTGGGGTCCTGCTAAGCGCGGTGGCCTCCTCGACCGGCGCCACGCCCGATGTACTGCTCGGGGGGATAGTCGGTGCCGGCGGGTCCGAGGAGAATGGGTTCGGTGTTGGGGGGCCTGCTGGCGCGACCGGCGCCGGCGTCGGGTCCTTGGGCACGGGGGCACGGGCCCCCGGTCGGCGTGGGCCCTTTCTCCATCGGAGCCGGCATACGCATGCGGTGTCGCGGCCACGCTCGAGCGGTGGGCGCTTCATGAGCCGTGCCCAGCTGGCGGCCCTGGCGGCCGAGCAGGAGGCCGCTCAGGCGGCAGAGGCAACCGCCGCCGCCGCCGCCGCCGCCGCCGCCGCCGCTCCGACCACGACAACAACGTCAGCAGAGACACTCCCTCCCTCGGGCCCCCAGCCTCTGCCGGAGCCACAGGAGTCCCAGGTTCAGCAAGTGCCTCAGACGGCGTCTCAGCCGGCACAGGCCCCCCATGCGGTATATGCACATCCGCATGCCTCCTCCTCCTCCTCCTCCTCTTCTTCCCATGGCCATCAGCCGCAGCCGCAGCCGCAGCACCATTTCCACCACATCCTACACCACCACCACCGCCCCCACCATGGTTAGCCAGAGCCCCGACGCGGCTGGCCGCGCCCAAACCACAATCTCCCTTTGTAGAATACAATAGTACTCGCGTACTTTGTTTTGATTATCAGGTGACATTGAACGCGTGTCGGGGTATACCCCCTCAGGCATCGCGTGGCCTGACCCCGACCTCGAGGGGACGCTCCCCAGTTGGTGAGAGCGAGAGGTCGGGGTCATGCATGCGACCCCCCGCCCCCTTGCCCTCCCTCGTCCCAGGCTGGGCCCGCGGACCGGGGAGAATGCTTGGCGGCCGCGGCGTGGCGCGCCTGGCGCGTCCTGTGTTGTGCATACCGCCGCCCTGGGTGCGGGGGACACACGCGGCTCCCAGGGCGTGGTCCTCGGCCACGGGCGGCTGGGCGGGCTCGCGTGAGCCGGCCCTTGGCCTAGGCCGGCGCCGGGGCCGGGTCGCTGCCTGCCGGCCGGGGTGCCCAGCAGCCTGGGAACAGCGAGCTGGGCGATCAGGGCGGTCGTGCGCCGGGCGGGCCGCCTGCGCGGCGACGGCGGTGGCGGCGGCGCGGGGGTCGGGCATGTCCTCTGATTGGTCGCGCACACCGCGCACGGCCTTGACGCAAGGGCCGGGGGGGGGGGGGGAGACGGACGCGCCGCACACATCCCCGGCGGGCGATCTCCCGCGACGTCGGGGAGGGGGGGGGGGGTTGCCGCCCGAAGTGGTCGCGAATCTCTGGGGGCGTCTCGGGCAGGGGAGGGGCGGGGGGCAGGGCAGCTGAGCCGTTCCTCCCGAGAGGGCACCTCCTTCGGTCGATGAACGTGGGAGAAATACCGGCCAGAAGCGGGGCCTGCGTTGCAGGGCACCCGGCGGTCGGGGCCGGGGGGGGGCTCTCATCCGGCCGAAGGGACATGACTGGCGTCGGGGAGCGGGGGGTGCTCGTGGCGCCCCAGCGGCGAAGGGGGCGTCGACGATGCCCCCCGCTCTCGGCCCGGGCCTCGCGGGCGCGAGCCCATGCGTGCGTAGGGGTGTATTCCTGGCTTCCGCCAAATGTGCGCGGCCCCAGAACGCCAGATCGGAAAATTGATCGACCACACGGTGCCGGCCGGCGTGGCGTGGCGTGGCGTGGCGGGGCGGGGCCCCGGAGGCCCGGAGTCTGGTTGCCCCCTTGCTTTCGTCCGTCTCGCCAACAGGACCCCGGCAGGCGGCGAAGGCCCGGGCATGGTTGATCGGTCTGCGGTCCTGCGTGCGCGCTAGCGAGCGGCCCCCACCTCGCCCTCCCGGCTCTCGCCCTCCCCAACGGGCGTTCTTGGTCTGGGCTTCCCACCTGGGCCAGGGTGGAGGATGCGTCTTTGCTGTGCCCCTAACCAACTGGGCAGGCTATACCATGCGGGGGATTGGTCCTGGGTGAAAGCACCTAAGCGAGAAGGAGAAGCGGGCAAACAAAAAAGAGGCTATTATTATTGTTCCCACTTTCACCCCTTCCTGGCGCTGGGGCCTCGCGGGCTGGCCCCCCGTTGTGATGAGGACAGGCCCTGCGGAAGCAAGGATCCCCCCCCCCCCGCGTTGGTTTCTCTCTCTCTCTCTCTGTGTGCGGTAATGGCCGGACATACGCACGCGCAGAGCCCGGCCGCTGCGCGCGAGCCTCCGTCTGCCGCCCCTGGCCTCTGGGAGGGGGGCTTCTGATGTCGCACATGGCCGTCGGTCGCGTGTCCGTGCTCCCCTTTCCTCTCCCCTCTCCCAGGATTGCATGGGCTGATGCGTAGGGAGGGCCGTGGGGGAAGGGGGGAGGGGGAGGGGGGCAAAGCGGCCCGGGGGAGGCGTGCCGCCCCTCCCCCCCACCCCCCCAACTCACGCAGTGCCAGACGACGGACGACCGCCTGAGGCCTGAGGATGGGCTGGCTGGCTGGCTGGCCGGCCGGCCGGCTGGCTGGCCGGCAGGCGGGCCAGTGTGCAACGACCGGCTCCCGGAGGCATGCTCATGGGGTGGCCCGCTGACCGGGGAAGGGTCCGGGACCGGCTCACGCCGCGTCTGTTCCCCCCCCGCCGCGGGCGCTCTCCCCGCGCCTTCCCGCGTCCCTCCCCTGCCTCTTCTGCCTCCCTTAGCCCGCTGCGCCGCCCTCTTCGCCCCCTCGCCATCCCCGCCCCGCCCCCCCCCCCAGACGACCTGCTTCTCTGGCCCCGGTCAGTTGCCTGTCATCGCCGGCGCCCCGCTTGGCACCTTTTCGGCCACCGCTGCCCGGTCCCCGGCCGCACGCTCCGGCTCGGCATTGGTCCCCCACCAATCTCCCCCCCCCCCCCCCCCTCTCGCCGCCACCTGATATGGTCTCCTGATGCCCGTGCGCCCCATTCCCCCTCCCTCTTCTTGCCGCTGCCGTTGTCACCATCGTCGCCCTCGCCATGGCCACCTCTCACACCTGTCCGCCTGCCGCCCCAAGATCTGAAGATCATCCGTGTCGTGAGCGCCGACCCCAAGTGTCCCCTCTTCCTTTCCCCCCCC